ATAGAAAGCTTGACATGTCTACTTTTAAACTAAGCAAGTCTTATCGAAAGCAAATATTCTGTGATAAAGTAATCATATGAAACCAACGCGATGTCCAGTCTTTCATGTCTCCCTTCATTATCTCTAATGTGACCATGCCCACGCGCTGAGCACGCTATAGATATTATAATCATCCACGTGAAGCACGTGGCGGGTAAACGCCCACATCACAGCAAACAAAGCAGCAAGACCTCAAGTTTTACTGTTCACGTCGCGCTGAGAGGAATAAGACAGAATTCACCTCAAGAAGCTTGGGATTAAAATATCATGATGGCAGATTTCTTAGTACGACTTACTAAAACCCTTTTTTAACTAAAATAAAACTTTATTTTAACTAAAAACATTATAAAGAAATAGAATATATATATATATTAATAGTATATAATAATAATAATAATAATATATATTTTGAGAGCTCAGTGGTGTTTTGGGTTACACTTTATTTCGATAGTCCACTTTAAACATTCTATTAACTATAAGTAACTTTGTAACTACATGTCAACTACATGTCAACTAATTCTCATTAATTTGCGTCTACATGTCTACTAACTCTCAGAGTAGACTGTTAGGGTAGGTTTAGGGTTAGTAGAATAAGTTGACAAAGAAAGTGTTAGAAGATATTAAGCAAACAGTCTACTAATACTCTACTAACTGCTAGTTGACATGTAGTTGCAAAGTTACTTACTGTTAAAAGAATGTCTAAAGTGGACTATCGAAATAAAGTGTTACCGTGTTTTGCTATGATTTTAGGTTTAAATCTTATTTAGACGCTTGACAAAACATGTTATGGACATGCACAGGTTATTTATCAATTTTATAGCGTAGATATATCGCTTGGATAAATATTATTAATTAGTTAGTTTAGCCCTTATATATAAAGAAATGGATGAGTTAAATCTTTTCGGCATTACCAAATTTGTCCGCCAGGTGTCCTCTTCATTTCTAGGTGGTTGCTGTGTTTACTTTAGGTTATTAAAATTGATCATAAGTCTTCTGTCTGGATGTAGTTGCCAGATGTTGGTCAGACATGGGAGATCTGCTCAGCGACCTCAGGATGTGAGAGATTTCCAAGCGGACGTGACTTTTTTTTCTCTTTACTTTGGGATATACAATAACAGTTTACCATAAGTAGAAAAGTAGTGTTATATCTGAGCTGTCGGCAATAATGGCACTTATGATGAAAAATACTTGGAAAAACTTCGGCACAGCTGTTCAAAGTTCCCCTTTGATTATATGTTATAAACACTATACACTTACTATCTGGAGCGAGATTGTGACGCTACGTGCCAAATGCAATATTCTCAAAACAAAATATTTCTGCAAGCTTATTGTCATATAGAAATAATCATTTAATATATTCTTGACGTCTTATGTACAAAGCGACAAATAAAACAATAAGCATTACAGCCAAGCCAGTAGCCGAATGGGTAACCGCGGAAGGTGAAAAGTTTATTTTCTACACAATCTGCTATATGAGACTGTCTGCAAACACACAAGCACGCCGAAATTTAGAATGCTGCGATTCATTACCAACATCGCAGTTTTCAAACATTAATAGGGTATTCGTCGTAGCCATACAGTCTATGGTCGTAGCAATAGCTCTTCAGGATACGTTTCATAGTCATCAATCAAAACATTTGTCATAAGCTGCATTCGTAATTACTACTTGCCTTGTTCATCAGTCTGCATGGATTTTTTTAAAATCCAAATAAAGTTTAGCAATACTTCATTATGGGACATTAGGTCATTTTAAACTTAAATGTGGAAAGTATCATATAATTTAAATGACACATCCTCTGACAGACTGACAGGAGTGGTATGTAAAGTTAAACTAATGTCTCTCTCTCTCTCTCTCGCTCATTCAAACATCCTCAGCTGGAAGCAGAACGAATCAAGAAGCGCTTGATATGAACATGAAGGTTGTCTACAGGAGTCTGTCACTTTTACTGGGTAAGTAAAACGTACAACACTTCAGTGTGTCTACTATCTTCTAGTGATTCCAACATTTTTTGTTTTACTACTGCAAGTTTTACTATTCTTATCCTACACTTTCAGAAAAAAGGTACAAAAGTTGTCACTGCAACAGTACTCTTGAAAAGGTACACATTTGTCCCTTATTTACCCCAAAGGGTGCATACCTTAAAGTACCTAATACAGTACTTACCTACCTAGTTCCCTCTCAGTCGGTCACTCTCGACGTCACGTCGGAGG